GGATAGCTCGGCCGGTCGTGTAGTCCTTTTTTAAGGCATTGATCAGTGTTCGAGTCCCATGATTATCATGCTCGGAGTGGATTGAGGCGTCCTCTCCCGGACTGCAGTGGATTCGGCCAAGATACCCCCATGTCGTCAAAAAAAATAATAATAATAATCTCCAAGATCAAGACGCAGCAACGAGTTGACCACGCCATTTCCTTCCAATTCATTACTCTTTTATTCAACTCTCTAATTTATACAACACAGATATACCGTGACACAGTCGTGCATGTAAACGTTTTAAGAGCAGTGACACAAATTTGCCTCACCATTTATAGTTACTGGGGACATTTGTTTCGCAGTTTACCTTCAGCTAATTTCTCTGAAATTATTAAATCTATGAGAATTCACATTGGTTCATGCTTTTTTTTTTTTTTTGAGAAAAATACTTTATAGGTAGAATAGATAGTGAGGCAAAAGCCAAATCAATGTAAAGTATCTAGTCTTTTGCATAATGTTGTAAAAAGAGTGAGAAAATATTCAATCTGGTGTTAGTTCCAAAATTTCATTTTACATTACGTATATTTTAACTTAGACTTCAATCTTCATATCCTTTGTGCGACTTAATTGAGAATAGATCTTCTCCAAAGCAAACAAGAATAGTGGAAAAAAAAATAAACATGAAGAGTAAATAAGCATTGCCATAAAACGTGAACTTTTAATGAAAAGTATATTATCTCAAGGCACAAAAATCTTGCAGTAAATAAATACAAGTTTTAACATTCTAGAAAAGAATAGATCGAGAGAACTTGATCTATCAAATAGTTCCTTTAGACCTTCCTTCCACATATGGTCTTTAATGTCTTGCATATGAAGTGTTTAAAACTTCGAAGTTTACGAAGGGATGCAATGAAAGAAGCCACATATATATCTTACATCTTACAAGATATAAAAGTACCAAGCTCAAGTTACTGTAGCAATTGTGGTCCGGTTATTGCGGTAATTGACACCAATTTGAGGGGCCTTTGGTTAGGGTGTCTTAGTGGGTTGTGCTCTGAGGGCTTTTTGGTTACGGTGGTGCTTGCAGTAATTTACAGCAATTTTAAGGCCTTTTGCTTATGGTGGTGGCAGTAACTATTCTGCGGTCGGTGCGCTTAATGCTATTAGTGCATTGTGCTCTTAGTCTTCTTGGTGGGTCCTGCTATTGGTGCTGCCGTGGCGCTATATTGCATATGCTGCTTTCGGTCATTGTTGAGCTGGCTCGACGTAGTGGATGTTGGCTTGCATCCATCTAAATGGACGTTGGCTTGTATCCATCTAAAATTGCAGTCATTTTTGTTGTTTCCTTTTGTTCTGCTTTGATCCTGGTCTTCTTAGTGGGTCCTGCTATTGGTGCTTCCGTGGCGCTATATTGCATATGCTGCTTTCGGTCATTGTTGAGCTGGCTCGACGTAGTGGATGTTGGCTTGCTTCCATCTAAATGAACGTAGTGGACGTTGGCTTGTATCCATCTAAAATTGCAGTCGTTTTTGTTGTTTCCTTTTGTTCTGCTTTGTTCCTGCTCTGTTTCCTTCCTACTCAGAGTTGGTTTTGTTCTTCCCTTTTGCTCTGGTTGGTCTGTGAGCTCTATCTAAAATTGCAGTCTCTTTTGTTGTTTCCTTTTATTCTGCTTTGTTTCTGTTTCCTTGCTACTCAGAGTTGCTTTTGTTGTTCCCTGTTGCTCTGGTTGCTCTCTGCTCAGACTCTGGGTCATTTGTATTTTTCTTCTTTTTCTCAGATGACTTTGGCTTATTTCTATTGTGCTCTTCTTTCTGAAACGCTGGATTGATGCGAGTTGGCTGTGTTAGTGTGGTGTCAGTTTTAGTTTTGTTGTCTTTCGTTTTCGCTTAGGTTGTAGGAAGCTTTCTTTTCTTCTTTCTTTTAAGTTCTCTTCTACTTCTATATATTATTTTTGCATGCATGGGGATTATTTTTGCTTTTTACCATATCAGCCAGTATCTTTTTGGATAATGGACAGATTTTTGCAAACTTAGTATTGCGCGAGCTTTGATATATCTTGATTTGTTGTAAACTTGCTATTGCATGAACCTTGATGCGCTTTCCTTTGTTTTCGATTTATTTGGTATTGGTTTGTGTTATACACAACCTTTATATATTGTTGCATGTTAGTCTGCTATTTTTTGTTCTATATCTGTTGCATGCATGGGGATAGGTTTTTTTTTTTCATATTAGTCACTATTTTTTTTTATCATTGAGAGAATCTTCCTAAATTCTTCCGTGCAATCGATTTTTTCTTTAATGGCTGTTCCATATGATTCTTTTCTGATATCTTTGTTCATGCAAATTGGCTAGCTACGCGTGATCTTAAAATTGAATTTTTTACTAATTTATAACTTGCTTTTAGTTTTTCCAAGCCTTGTTCCCTGTTTTCATTGCCGTTCTATTGTCTATATTGGTTTATAGCAATGCTTATTGTTGGTATTAATTTTGTATTAACTCCTTTTCAGTTTCAGGAAGAAAAGCAGATACGGCAGCGTGCTATTAGGTTTACAGGTTGCTGCTTCAGGTCATGGATGCTATAAGGTGCGCATATAAATCTTTATAATTGATAATTATAAATAGATTTAGGTATTATATAACTTTCATCAAATTTGAGTCTATTTGTTCTTCTTGCGATCTGTGTTATTGTTATTTTCGTTGCTTTGATCTTATTTTCGTATGTTGCATGTTACTCTGCTTGTCAATATAGTATTTTTTTTTGTCCAATTTGTTGTCCTTTGCCATATCTATATTATCTTCCTCAATAATGGGGCGAGCCAAAAAATATGGAACTCTTGAAGACTTATATATTGAGAAAAATAGAAGGCGTCGGCAACAGCGACGTGCTGCAACAGGCAAAAATAAAAATCAGCTTTGTAGTGGTGTATGTGCGGTTGCAGTTACAGGATTTAGTGTCGCTGAAAATATGATTCCACAAGAAAATGTTGGGTCTGCTGATGGTCAGCACAGACGGTCTGTTCCATCTGCTAATTTTTGTTATGAACATTTTATTGGCGCTAATGATCGTGAAATTTCTAGCACTGTAATGAACCAGTCCATTGTAGTTGATCAAATCTCTGGAAATGATCAACGTAAATGCAATCAACAAGTGGCTGAGATATCTTTAACAGACGAGATTTCTCAATCAATGCTCTTTGATGTACCAATTTCTGGTGAAAGATCTGATGATGAGTTACGACACACATTACATAATCTTGCTGTTACTGTTGATGGTAGTTTAGCTGAAATGACAACTTTACCCAATACAAGCAAAGAGCAAGGCCAATCATTATCAATGGTCGATGGTATGACCAAAAAAGGTAAAAGACAGAAATCTACAGAGAAAGCATCAGATTGATTTGGTTCCTACCAATCTATAGATGGTTCTTTCCATGATCCTTCTCGTGATGATAATGTCCCAACAACTGAATCTTTACTGGCCACAAGTAATATCTTCCAGGGTAATCAAAAGAGGAATCAGCAAAAGAAAAAACAGAAGAATCCATTAGATGCTATTGCAACTGAGCCTAGCTTGTTACCAGCAGTTGCTAACTGTCAGTATTGCAATGCAAAACGTTTTCATCTCGAACCTCCAGGATTTTGTTGTTCTTCTGGAGAGATTCAATTAGTGCCAACTGAGATGCCAAGAGAACTTATGCTACTTTATCTTGATAATAGTGAAGATGCCATAGAGTTTCGTCGATGTGTTAGAAGCTATAATAACGTATTTGCCTTTACATCCATTGGAGTCCACACAGATCAATCTCTTGGCAAAGCATACAATGGAATTTATACTTTTCGAATCCAAGGACAGATGTATCACTATATGAATCAGCTCATTCCTACTGATGGTGAACAACCAAAAAATCTTCAATTATATTTCATTGACACTGATTATCAGACAACCAATATACTTTCATTATCTAACAGGTTTGCTGAATCACTCATTAGTAAGCTAGAAAGCATCTTGAAAGTCAATCCTTATTCTGCCTTCTTTCGAGGACTTCAAACATTGTCCAATCTTGATGATTATAAAATTGTTCTGGAAGCAAATCCATCCGTTGATCAGCGAACTTTTAATAAACCAACAGTTTCACAGGTGGGAGGTGTTTGGCCTGAAACAAGTGATTCTGAGCAACTAATGTCAAAGCATATTGAAGTATATGGCAAAAATGGAAAAACACAAATCGTCAAGCATTACTATGGCTGTTATGATTCTCTACAATATCCCTTGATATTTGCAAATGGTGAACCAGGTTGGCATCCAGGAATTGAAAGAGTTGTGCACAACGATGATCCATCATGTCAACAAAGAACATGCCAGGGAGAGCAACTGTTATTCTCTGGCTCAACTTTAACAGCAGATGATGTTATCCATGCTGAAAATCAGGGTAATTATCTTACTTGCAAAAGTTTTTGTGTTATCTTTTTATACGATGATCAAAAAACAAGATTATATGTCCTTACACTTCTTATTTCCCCATATGCAGCAATCAGAAAAATGAAACGAAAGAGAAAAACTGTTTCATGTCGAGAGTATTACTGCTACAAGCTACAGATCAGAGAAAATGATCGATCAATGTTGCTTCACATAGGCCGACTTCTACAACAGTACGTGGTTGATATGTATGTCAAAATTGAGTCCACAAGACTTGATTTTCATCGAAACACTGACAAACGAAACCAGATGCACACAGAATTATACCAAGGCATAGTTGACAGCATCTCTCAAGGAGAAGCTTCATCTTCAAATATTGGAAAAAGAATTTTATTGCCACGATCATTTATTGGAGGACCACGTGATATGAAACGTAGATATATGGATTCAATGGCTTTGGTGCAGCGATATGGCAAGCCAGATATTTTTGACAATGACATGCAATCAGAATTGGCCAGAGATTAAGAATGAGTTACTACAAACTGATCAAGTTGAGAATCATCCAGATCTGATCTCACGAGTCTTTAGAGCCAAATTAGAAATGTTGAAAAAGGAGCTATTGAAGAGGCATATTTTTGGAAAGGTTGCAGCATATACGTATATTATTGAATTTCAAAAACGAGGCCTTCCACACGCTCATTTTCTTATCATTCTTAAACAAGGAAGCAAGATGTACTCCCCTCAAGCATATGATCGAATTGTGTGTGCTGAACTTCCTGATTCTCATCATCAGCCATACTTACATAGTCTTGTTGTGAAGCATATGATGCATGGACCATGTGGGGCAATGAATCCAAAATGTCCATGTATGAGAAAAAATATAGGTTGTAAGGACAAGTATCCGAAAGAATTCAATGAATCCACACGTCACAGTAGCAACTCATATCCTATATACAAACGTGCCGATGACAAGAAAACAGTCAAAGTTCGTGCTCATCATCTGGATAACAGGTGGGTAGTCCCCTATAATCCTTATCTATTATCAAAGTTTAACTGTCATCTTAATGTAGAAGTTTGCTCAACTGTTCGAGCTGTCAAGTATATTTACAAATATATATATAAAGGTCATGACAAAATCTTGTATCAGCTCAATAAAACTCAGGTCGACCACTCATTTGATGAAATTAAAAGCTTTGTAGCTGCTAGATGGATATCTGCTCCTGAAGCTATGTGGCGCATATTTGCATTTGATCTGAATGAAATACATCCATCAGTGACTTTGCTCCAAGTACATCTTGAAAATAAACACCCTTTAGCATTTCCTGAAAATAGACCGCTTGAAAGTCTATTGCAAAATCCTACTTCTTCAACAACAATGTTAACCGAATTTTTTGCAATGAACAGGCAGGATGATCATGCAAAGTCTTAAACTGTTTGTATGCAGAATTTCCAGAACATTTCGTTTGGAACAGGACAACGAAGCAATGGGATCACCGAAAAAACAAACAAGTTATTGGCAGGTTAGCTCCTGCTCACCCATCTAAAGGAGAACGCTATTATTTACGCATGTTATTAATGCATGTCCGGAAACCAACCTCTTTCCATGCATTGAAAACAATCGATGGGATTACATATGCTACGTTTCAACAAGCAGCAGATAAACTTGGTTTGCTACAATCAGATGATGCTGTTGAATTGTGCCTTCAGGAAGCCACTCTATATCAAATGCCATCGTCCTTAAGACATCTATTTGCTGCTCTTTTAGCTTACTGCACACCAACAAATCCAGAAAAAATCTGGCTCAAGTATCAAGATTTCTTGTCTGAGGATATTCATCAAGATAAATCTATTGACCAAGCTAATGTTGAAAAGATAGTCCTACAGATTATTCACAATTACTTACAATTTATGGGAAAATCTTTGAAAGATTACGGATTCAGTAGCTTTGTTCCACAAAGAAATATCAAACAACTCATCGCAAAAGAGATAGAAAGTGAAAAGAGCATTGCTGTCTCAGATGCTGATCTTGCCGCATTGCATCAGCTAAACAGTGACCAGAGAATGGCCTATGACAGAATTATGAATGCAGTATTAAACAAAAAATCAGAAGCTTTTTTTGTTGATGGCCGTGGAGGTACTGGTAAGACTTTTCTATACAAGACTCTTCTTGCAACAATCAGATCAAAAGGTTGGATTGCCCTTGCTACTGCAACATCTGGTGTGGCAGCATCTATCTTACCTGGAGGTCGAACTGCTCACTCCAGATTTAAAATTCCTTTATATGATGATGATGCTACAACTTGCAGTGTTGGAAAACAAAGTGCCATTGCACATCTTATTCAGAATGCACGGCTGATCATTTGGGATGAAGCTTCTATGGCAAAGTGAAAATCAATTGAAAAATTCAATGAGATGCTACAAGATCTGATGCAAACAAATTTAGCATTTGGTGGAAAAATTATTGTCTTCGGTGGTGATTTCCGTCAGACTCTACCAGTGGTGTCAAAAGGCCACAAGCAAGATATCATCAATGCAAGTTTGTTAACTCTCCTCTTTGGCGACAACTGACAAAATTAAGGCTTCAACAAAACATGAGAGCACGCAAAGATCCTGATTTTTGCAGATTCCTTCTCAGCATTGGTAATGGAACTCAACAAATCAATAATTCTGGTGAAGTTGATATACCAGCATCAATGAACATACCATTCGTTGATGATGATTCGTCGCTCGAAACACTTATAAATGAAGTTTTTCCTTCCATGGAAAGCTTCAGTATAAATCCAGCTGCAGTTGTTAATCGAGCAATCTTGATGACGCGTAATGATTTTGTTTATGAGATCAATGACAGATTGATTGAAAAATTTCCAGGGAAGAAAAAAACATATCTTAGTTTTGATCAGCCTATTGATTGTCGAGACCAAAGAGATACTCAAGATTTTCTGAATTCATTAACACCAAAAGGGATGCCTCCGCATGAGCTCAAGCTGAAAAGGAACTGTCCTATAATGCTGATCAGAAACATAAATCCAACAGAAGACTTATCGAATGGGACTCGATTAATATGCAAACAGTTCAATAACAATGTTATCCATGCTGAGATTGCATCTGGATCGTTCCAAGGAAAATCTATCTTTATTCCACGGATTCCATTGGAGTGCTCAGATGATGAATTCACATCTGTCCCATTTAAAAGAACACAATTTCCTTTAAGGCTGTGTTTTGCAATGACGATCAACAAGGCTCAAGGACAAACACTTGACTTTGTAGGATTGTATTTGAAAGAACCAATATTTTCCCATGGTCAGCTCTACGTGGCGCTATCACGAGCAACGAGAATGTCAAATACCAAAATCCTTATCAGGCCTCTCTCTCTATTCCAGGAAGCTACAAATTGCACCAAGAATATATTATATAAAGAAATTTTTACTTTAGCTGAAAGCAGTTAGACTTATTCCTGCCTCAAATTTTTTCTCCATCTTACATACCTGATGAATACATTTTATAGCCACAATTTTTACTCATTCCATATCCTAAATCTTATCTTCTAACCTGCCTATCATTATTTTCTTCATGACTGCATATTTGATTGATCAGTGATATCAAGCAAAGATGTGTCCTGGTTCCCGAGCTCACTGATACTATTACTGATTGGTTTGCAAAATTGCTGATCATAGAGAAGACACCAACACGATTCAGCAAAAGTGGCGGATCTCCTTATATAAGATTGGTACTCGCAGATCATAAGGTAATTCCTTTTGAACAACATCTACTGACTAATATGATCCAATTTACGTTTTAACATATCCTTCACTTAACAGATTCTCCTAAATTTTCTTTCCATTCTCTCTATTGCAGAGTAATACTATCCAAGCTACTATCTATGAAAGAGACATCTATGATGTCGATCCGCTACTCCAACTTCATTCTACTTATTATCTTGGCAATGCTTGGATCACGAAAATAACATTGCCATTCTACCTTGCATCATCCAACTACCAGCTGACAATTTCAAAAAGAACCTTCATAGAACCCGTCCCAAGCGAAAGAGCATTACCATACGATAACTGCTACAGATTCACTTCATTTCAAGATCTGCATACTTTCATGAATGATGCAAATGCAAAAGTTAGTGAGTATACTATTATTCTGCTTTATTTTGCCACTGTAATAAATCCTATCACCTGACCATTAGTTAACTTAACAAAATTTTTTCTCTTCTATATATCATAGATATCTTATGTACAGCAATACATACACTCCCATCTCGATCAGTTCCAAGAGGCCAAGGATACGCAACAATTCAAGAGTTTATTGTCGTCAATCATGAGTAAGCATAAAAAATTTTCTTCCAGTTCCATTTCGTAGCATCATTAATACTACAAACTAAAGCTATGACATCTTATACAGAAAAAAACCAATGATATTCACCATGTGGGATGAATTTCTGGCTGTTGAAGGTGCTATTCTAAGATCAATGATGTCACAGCAACCAATCATTATCATTGCAAGGCCTAGAATCAATTCTCACCACAGTAAGTAAAAAAAAATTTTTGACACTCTGACAATTACTAAAACAATAACTATATATAAGATACTAATTTTCTGAGACTTATATGCACTTAGCTATATCAATTGGAACACAAGCAACAACCGTACTCTTGTACAACCCACAGATCACAGCAGCAACAACACTAAACAACTAGTAAAATACATTACTATCCCGTTCTATTTTCTGTATATTTCTAAGTCTAACTCTGTTATATTATAGGCTGAAAGAAAATACAGCTTATACTCGAGCAGTTATTCAAGAAAAATTGTATGATAAAGCTCACCAGATTGTACATGCACCAACCACTACCCAACTGCATGACATTGCCACCATTACCTCCAGCACTTATCAGGTAAAAAAAAATCTACATTTTTTTACTTTCTTATAATATTAGAGCCATTACATTTCTGTGCAACACGCTTTACTTCTACCAAAAAGCTAGCCATGACGGCCTATGCTTTAAAGATCTTTATAAAACATTACTTCCGCTCAAACTACTTCTATTAGATATAAATTCTCACAATGTAAAAATCTTGCCTCACTATTCCATTCTTTCATCTATGTAGAACAAATCTTTTTGGATACAAGCAGAAATTCGAATTCCAACCACTGCACAGCGCTTTTATTTTCTCAGTTGTCCTAATACTACATGTATGAGGCCTACTGGTGCAGCCATGAAAAGACATTTCACCTGTAATTTCTGCCATATTGCATACCCTGAACCACTACCAAGGTATAGCAGTAAATACTCCTTTTACTTTCCTGCTTATATATAACTATAAACAAATCAAAATATCATCATTTTATCAATCCATCTTTAAATATAGACAACTTATAGCTATCTTGTTGATAACTTCAAATTATACAGACTACGCTTTGAAACACAGCTATTTGATGGAGCGTCAATCCTAACCGCAACAATTGAGGATGAATATGCCCAATCACTACTTGGAAGCTCTGCACAGACTATAATTGACATGCAAAAAGAGGTACAATTCTTTCATAAACTATCCTCGCTTTAACTTCATAAGCATCAACTAACTTGTTCGATTCAAACCTAATATATTTCACAGCAACGATCTATTGATCTACATGCCATCAACAAAAGACTCCAAAACCAGCAATATTACATTCACGTTCGAAATACTGCTAGGCAATCAGACATTCCACAAGCACCACGATACATCATCCTTGCCCACCTGCCTATCCCAGCACAGAGAACAACAGATCCGCATCTGCTGCTAGACTCTTCTATATCTACAACCTCATCATCACACAATCACCCTTCAACAGATGAATGCACATCATCCTCGGTCAAACCAGACAACATTATAAAGCATTTTGAATCGTCATCAGATGCAGAAGAAACTCACATGCACCAGCTTGAAAAACGCCAGATAATCCAGCCTGCTGATACTACAGCCAAGCGACAAAAAAATAAGTAACATGTCACCAATGCAGTAAACAAACACAAGGATAACCCAGGTTTTGCTCTACAAAAACTTATATAAACAAAATCTCTTTTGCATGCTACTTCGGCCAGTTATCTAAATATTACCTTTAAATCCAATCAAATGCTATTAAGAAGCATAACTTAGTAACTTTATGTCCTTCCTCAATGACTTGTCTTCTACTTCCAGCCATGAGTTTCTCTCACTGTTTTGTATTAACTATTTTCATATCAAGAGACAAATGCTATCATTAGTTCTACGAAACGTATGTCAGATCTATTATCCTTTCCTCCTCTTATATCGCATTTATTCATCCTTTCCAATATCTTTCCTAAGATTCACACTTTAGTAATCAAATATGCTCGCTAACTGACTTGCATCCTGCTGGAAGCTATTAACGCCCTTCGTGACTATACACATTATTGTTTTACCCTCCTTTCATAGCCGTTAAATGCTCAATAAAAAAAACTAAACTAATTTCATATTATTCTGTAATATATATACTAATATACCATTAATTTTTTAACCAACAAATCATTTTACAAGACAAAACAAAATTGACCAAAAAACATACATCCCAACAAATTACATCATTAAAACAAAACAAAATAGTACAACTCTCCTTCATCATCACACCTAAACTTTCTTCCCACCAGAAACAAATCAATACATAACTAAAACCATAAACAAAGAAAAACCACTTTATATACAATCTTCGCCTCCAAGGACAATTCGAAATCAACGTAACCAATTTAAAACCTATTTTACAATCCGCCACAAAACTCATTGCCATGCACAGACAACATACTAAACCAACAACATTTTAACCTACAAAAAATAAACATAAACACTAAAATCATCACAATCCATCAATTTGGTCCATCCCCTGCGAGTCCCTCATACCAGCTCCTCAATTCATCTGCCTCAGGAATGGCAACATCATACATAATAATAGTTCTCCTTTCTGTAGCCAAAGAAAGACCTAAAAAAAAAATTCTATCAAACACAAGATAAGAACGATAATTCTACTATTGAACAAATGATTTTAAAAATCTATTACCATGAAAATGGCTAATTTTAGGCCTGCAAATCAGTACAATGGGATGCTCATGTGCAATCTGCGCAAGATGTGCTCCATCCGTATCAACAAATTCTTCCCAGATCGCAAATACCACTGGCATCATTCTATTAAAAAATATTATCAAGAACCAACACATAACATATTCAAATATTATTCAAAAAAAAAACCCATACTCTTCATTCATCAACAAAAACTCCTGAACTCGCATATATCTGCTTCCGAAAAGAAAAACATGCAATGGAAACACCTCGATCACGACACCAAGAATAGCTACAAAAAAACAATAACCTTTAATAAATAAATATAAATTTACCTCGCAAGTAATTACATATAAATCAACAAAAAAAAATTATAAATCATACTAATTATAGCATCGCGAGAATGCCTCAATGACTGCAGATGTCCAAATGGAGTAAAATTATAAAGATTATGAATCGGCAATTGAACTAAACCATGAACACGCTCGATTAAAGTATACTGTGTCAATGTTACTTCAAACGAAACAGAACCAAGCATTATTGAATCATCCATTAACCGACGAACAATCCCATTTCCAATATAATACGTTGAAAACAGTTGCAAAATCTCATCCAAGACATTCAGATCAGCAAAATACGCAATAGCTTGAACTCGATCACCCTACCAAAAAAATTAACTCGTAAGCAAAATTACAACATATCAAAAGAATAACAAAAAATAAAAAAATTAATCATTACCAATTGATCAGCAAAAACATATCGTTGATAACGCCGACCCATATTAACACTACCACGAACAAAACTTTTCTCAATAAGAACAACCCGAACAACCCAGCTTTGAACGCCAACATTCAACTGACTAACAGAGATTATATTTTGTTCCATAACAATAAACCGCAAAACAAAACCAAAAGAACCAAAGCAAAAACTGACTTCAAAATCTAGAAGTACACCTCTACAAACAAACTACTCTCCCTTTACACTCCCAAAAGCTCCAATGTAAGAGAAGGTCAGGCTGCGAGAATTGAGGTAAATATTTAAAGGCATCCATTGTTAAGCTCGATTAGGGTTGGGCTGAGGCAAACTTAAGCTAACTAAACAATTGGCATAGAACCTTACATCTGTTTGAAAAGGTATTCTTTTAAAAACAAAGCTCAATTAGTATGTTGGACGCCTAACTTAGTGCAAAAAACAAAAACAAAAAAAAAACTGTTGCGAGGCTGCGAGGTAAACAAATGCTTAATTGGTACTGAAAAAAGCATGATAAACATAATTATGCAGATAAGGAGGAAGGACCATACAGTTCATGAAGGCCTGATACGCGCTTAAGGATCCAACCACACCAGTAGCTTCACGGCTCACATCTTGCTGTTAGTAATCAATTAGTAGCACGGTTATAGAACAAATGGGGCGCCAACTTCTCCACACATAAGTGAGAACTCAAGAAAGAAAAGGATTGGACAGCAAGTCTCTTTTCTTTTTAGTTGGTAGGCAAATTAAGCTCTAGCCCTATTCAAGACTATGCTACAGGTAAAGTCTCAAGGAGGTAAGGGCGAGGAGAAAGGGTGGTCACATATGAAATTCAACCATCAGTACACAAAAACATGCAACCATCATAAGCTTTTTTTTTTTTTTTGGAAATCCTTCTAGAGAAATGCAATCTTAGATTCAGAAGGATTTCAACAATAGAAAACATATGTACAGGGAATAAAAGACCATAAAAAGCGTCACTGCAATCGCATTCTTCATGAAAATTGTTTTCTTGAGATGATGTTGATTCAGTGACTGCCACCCCTTAAAAATGTTTTCATAAAAAGTCTAATAGACTTATCCTAAGTTTCTTGAAATTAACAAAGAATTGAAAAACGAATTAAAACAGCGAAACAGCTAACGTCTAAACATCCTCAGACAGTACTAGCAAGTAGAATATTTCAACTGGAAAGAAATACTAGAAGAAGAAACATACGGGAGAAGGACAAAATGGCCAGCAGCAATTCCTGAGGCAGTTTGCCAGCAGGCTTTTGACACACGGGGAGAGAGATGAAACAGAAAAGGCCCAAATTGAATTGATCGTTGGAAAAGTTTACCAGCAGGCTTTTGATACACGGACCTGATTCCCGCCAATCTGCAATATAGCACGTAAAATGTAATCTTCCAAATAATAATTATGATAATAATAACCCAGTTGGAAAACAATTTTGCGCGGTGAGAATCAGGTAATTGAATCCTGTAGCCACTTGTTCTGCTTCTTATCCTTCAAAATAATTTTACATTTCGCTACAAATTCTACTGCATCCTTTCTTTTCCCCCTCTGCGTGTCTATTTCGTGCTTTTCTAAGAAAAGAAAGAGTACCTGCACCGAGATCTAGCATAAAAAGTAACATTTTTTCTTCAAATGCTCAAGTAAACTTAAAAAATATCAATATTAGGAAAAAAAATGTGCAAATGTCTCTTAAAGCTTCAGAACCACATTGCACCGTGTACAACAGCATTGTTCCCTATTCTTCAAATGGCAGAATTTTGCAAAGCCAGCCAGTTCACTGCATTGGGAAAGGACTATCTCTAAGGACCCTTATTCTCCCTGTGGGCTGACCTTAATATAGTGGCAACAGACCAACGACATCTTTAAGTGTAACAGTTTATCATTTACATATTACTTGGAATTTAATAAAATGGATCAAAAGCAAAACCTTTGATTAATTAGCATCGTTCCACTAATAAGCTTAAAGTAGTAGCAGGAAAAATATTCTCATTGATATGGTGCCTTTTCTTCGTGTAAGAGAAGGTCAGGCTGCGAGAATTGAGGTAAATATTTAAAGGCATCCATTGTTAAGCTCGATTAGGGTTGGGCTGAGGCAAACTTAAGCTAACTAAACAATTGGCATAGAACCTTACATCTGTTTGAAAAGGTATTCTTTTAAAAACAAAGCTCAATTAGTATGTTGGACGCCTAACTTAGTGCAAAAAACAAAAACAAAAAAAAAACTGTTGCGAGGCTGCGAGGTAAACAAATGCTTAATTGGTACTGAAAAAAGCATGATAAACATAATTATGCAGATAAGGAGGAAGGACCATACAGTTCATGAAGGCCTGATACGCGCTTAAGGATCCAACCACACCAGTAGCTTCACGGCTCACATCTTGCTGTTAGTAATCAATTAGTAGCACGGTTATAGAACAAATGGGGCGCCAACTTCTCCACACATAAGTGAGAACTCAAGAAAGAAAAGGATTGGACAGCAAGTCTCTTTTCTTTTTAGTTGGTAGGCAAATTAAGCTCTAGCCCTATTCAAGACTATGCTACAGGTAAAGTCTCAAGGAGGTAAGGGCGAGGAGAAAGGGTGGTCACATATGAAATTCAACCATCAGTACACAAAAACATGCAACCATCATAAGCTTTTTTTTTTTTTTTGGAAATCCTTCTAGAGAAATGCAATCTTAGATTCAGAAGGATTTCAACAATAGAAAACATATGTACAGGGAATAAAAGACCATAAAAAGCGTCACTGCAATCGCATTCTTCATGAAAATTGTTTTCTTGAGATGATGTTGATTCAGTGACTGCCACCCCTTAAAAATGTTTTCATAAAAAGTCTAATAGACTTATCCTAAGTTTCTTGAAATTAACAAAGAATTGAAAAACGAATTAAAACAGCGAAACAGCTAACGTCTAAACATCCTCAGACAGTACTAGCAAGTAGAATATTTCAACTGGAAAGAAATACTAGAAGAAGAAACATACGGGAGAAGGACAAAATGGCCAGCAGCAATTCCTGAGGCAGTTTGCCAGCAGGCTTTTGACACACGGGGAGAGAGATGAAACAGAAAAGGCCCAAATTGAATTGATCGTTGGAAAAGTTTACCAGCAGGCTTTTGATACACGGACCTGATTCCCGCCAATCTGCAATATAGCACGTAAAATGTAATCTTCCAAATAATAATTATGATAATAATAACCCAGTTGGAAAACAATTTTGCGCGGTGAGAATCAGGTAATTGAATCCTGTAGCCACTTGTTCTGCTTCTTATCCTTCAAAATAATTTTACATTTCGCTACAAATTCTACTGCATCCTTTCTTTTCCCCCTCTGCGTGTCTATTTCGTGCTTTTCTAAGAAAAGAAAGAGTATAAACTTTAATCACCATCATATATGCTTTTAAGTTTCAATAATGAGATCAGCTGTTGCTCGTATTCAATCTTATCATTTATCTATCATGGTTTGGAACATGCTGTAGCAAAGTCAACAATGTTTTTTTTTTTTTTTCCAATTTTATGGCGATAGATTATTACTCTTACCAAAGTCAACATTCTGCTTTGGCGATTAATCCAACGAGACTATACAAAGTCAAATGCATGCTAGGTATGAAGATGAATACAAAAATAAAGAACCCAATAAAAAAAAGATTTAATAACTACGAATTCAGGAATCTGCTGGCAATAAAGAACATGCGTTTCTATTATAGCATTTCATTATGTTTGTTTGGGTCAGTCTCTCAGTTGTTCCTCTCATTAAATTGTAATTGAAGTACGTAGAACAAATAATTCGGACATAACAAGTCTGCAGCCCGATAGATGCAATTGGAACGTCGGTTCTAGTTCCTAGTTTACTAATCTTAACAACCAAAAAATTAGTTTGCACGTATGATGCAAAGTTAATGCCTAATGATTTTTCTTTTTTAAACTATAGTATAAGATAAAGATGTACAGCATTGTTTTTTAGAGCATTTCAGGTGAAAGTTACGGTATTCTTTTAAGTTGACTAATCCTAAAATTGCATAATTTGCATTTAACATTTTCTTTTCAGTTAAGTGATCTTAAATTTTCATTTGTCACTGTCAATGAACTAGTATAAATTATGCTAGTAGGATAGTAGAAGATGTGTGCTACTCGTTTTATGCTAACAAAATTCATGAGCATTTTATCAAGATTAACAGACTAGAATGATACAGTTGGTTTAATCTGGATTTATTGTCATGTCAGTATCCATCCATTCTATTCTCTCATTAGGTAATTAATTTCATTATTACTGAAGAAGATACTTTATTCAAATGCCAGTTGTTGGAGAATTCCAAGAAAAAGCATAAAGTCAAAAGAGAGCTGTGTCGTACTGGCAACTGTTTTTTCTTGACTGTAGAGAAATTTTCATCAGGATGCTACTTCTGTACTCTAAACTATCGTTTCTTCATCTGTTGAAATCACTGAGAGAAGTAAAAATGGCTCCTGTCTACAATTGTGCTGATTTCGCCATAGAAGTGCTGAACAACTGTGACCTTTTCTACAAGGAAAATTGGTTGCCAGTCACTGTTGGGCTAAGATTCCAAAGAGCATTTCTGAGCTACATTCCCAAGTGGAGTCACGCCGATGAGGGTGTGTCTCTGCGCCTTGGGGATCTTGTAAAGAGAATCGAAGATGCATTTCCAGAGGTGGAGCTGGAGGGCCTAGATGATGCTGCTGAACAAGGGGATGAAGAGTCTCTGGATGCTGCCCCCTTCAGCTGGCTGGAAAAAATTGAAAGGTTTAAGCTGGAAATCAAGAAAGATTATAATGATTTATCAGAGTATATATCTGAATACAGATATCCTGTTACTGATTATGATACATGGAAAAAGTTCGTAGATTTTATCATAGATACCATGGAGGAACTAGTTTATGAAAAGTACATGACTGGTGGAGCGAAAAACAATTTGAAGCACTTGCAGCAAACCTGCTCTTGCTGGAAAGTCATTTTTTGTTTGGTGCACGAAACAAACCCTTGTAAGTAGTTTATAGGTCCCTGAGTTCATCTTGGAACTCTGGCTATGTATGTAGCAAATCTTTCCTATTGATGCTGGGATGATAGAATGGATGACCAAAGGGCAATGGAAATTACTATCAGGGCTCCTGATCTGCTGCAGAAGGTTAAGCCCACCACTACTGAAGCTGTGCAGATATATTTAGAAGTCATGAAATCTGCCATTTATTGCTTCGAATATGCTACTGCCGAAAAA